ACTTCTTTTTCCTTCTCCTTCTTTTCTCTTTCTTCCTTAATTCTATTATTAGTAATAATGTCTGCCACTTCTTTTTCTCTTTGTAAATAATATTGTTGTTGATTATAAAATTGTTGCTGCCAATCCACGTCCTCCTCATGATCAGAGGGTAATAATGGTTCTTGTTCCCTGAATCCAGTAAAAGCTGAAGGTGGAATTGGATCCTCAGAAACAGGTTGTTCTTCACGTTGTTTTCCATGAATAGTTGATCCAGAGGAAGGTCCTGGAGGTGGTGGTGGTGGTAATATATTAATAGAAGTAGAAACATCTGGAATATAAACTCTACTTCCTGAAATTCGTGGAGTTCTTTTATAATGAGATGTTGGTGGTAATTCTAATTCCTCATCTCCATCATCCGCCACATCTTGATTATGCATTTGAATAACTGAAGACATAGCTTCTTTATATAATAAATTCTTTAAATAAGAACTAATTTTGATATATTTTTAAATGAAAATGAAAGGTAATGTTTATGATTGATTTGAATAATTTTAATTTTTAAAGATCTTCTGTTGATAACCACGTGAATAATTTTTGTTGAATCTTGATGTAATATAATATAATTTGATTGTTGATAATGATTACAAGAGAAATTGATTTAATTATAAGTTGATTTTAATTTGTCAAGCCCGGGCAGAGTCACCAATATGTAGAACTTATAACCCAACAAGGGTTATACAGAGCTGGAAGAGGATAATCCACTAATAAAATGACTAGTAGAAGTTGTCTAAGGACTGCTCTTCTAAAACAACACAATCAGAAAGAGCTCTGTTGTATTGAGTACTGATAAGGCACCAGAGAAATATATCTTCACACGTAATTTTAACTTCAAAAGCACACTTTGTATTACTATCAACACTGCTATAGTGTTATTCCCAATTGATAACTAAAAGAAATAAGCAATATCTGATTTGATATTATTCCCAATAAGTCTTTATGACTATAAAACTAAAGTAAATTTCTCTTTATAATTGTAATAAAGGGCGTATTTAAGTGACCAGGTACTATTAAAATAAGTTTATAATGATAAACAAAATAATAATGGCGTAAATGATAAAGAAAAAAAGGGGAACAACAGTCCCAAAACCCTCTCAAAGTATATATAACAATGTACTAGAACTTTTACAATGGTCAACAGCCTCAAAACCAATCAAATCCGCCCAAAATTCCCTAAAAACCCTATGATGACGCAATGTAATGATTTTGTTACTAATAAATGATGTAATTTTCACAGCTAAAAGTGATCAATGACGCAATAATATGATGTACAGCACTTCTTATGATGAATACAGGTGATTTTTTCCTTGTAAACTAGCTGAAAACCAATTTTTGAGATTACGAATTTTTTCAGATGTGCTCCAATTTTTGATTACTAAAGTGCATCTTGTAGCCCACGTGTTACTGATCATTTCTGACACCTACATGACCTACTTCTGATGAGTGATGAGTAAGATATTGAGTTGTGAAGTTAAAGTTTTTAGTGTTACATGTGACTTGTGACTGTAAATTCGAGATTCACACCAATTCTTTATTTGCCTTATAACTTTTTACACACACCTCCATTACTAATGATTTAAAGTTTGTACATTATGTAATCCACTCTTCTGCGTTGAATGAGCCATCTACCAACCTATTCTGACGTCATTTGACATATGTAATTAGCTGAAAACCTCCATTTTCCACGAATTTCACCCATTTTCTTCACTTTTCACAGCTACTACTCTCTTTTTCTTGCTTTTGTAATATGACATCATCATCTATAACCTTAAAAATCCCGAAAAATCCTCTTGGCAACCTTAAATTCCATCACTACCACTATTACACAACCAAACTACACGTGTACCTCTTGTTTACCAACTTCGAAAAAGTGCCTTTTCCCTAATAACTTCTGTTTCTACTTATCAACCTTGAAGATTAAAATTGTCATAGTATAATATAATGTTGTTCTTTCATATTCTAACCTCATAATACCCATAACTTTATTTTTACTAACCTAAAAACCATTTTCCAACCTTTGTACCTATAATTTCGAATTTTTCTTATGTTTTTCTTTCTTTCTTTTTGTAATAAATTTGTAAGTAAACTATAATGATCTTAATATATAATGTGAAATAAAAAATGATGTAATGTTGACCTAATGACCAATACATAAGCCTACAAGAGCTTCAATTGATCAAAAACCTCCATTTCGAATTTTCTTTCCTGCTGAATCCTGCTAATAAACTGGTAAACTGGTAATTGTGAATTTTTTAATTGATCCCATAAATTGATCACCACAACGGTAAATGGGAAGCTCCTCCGCTTGATGAGATCGTAATGGATGCGGAAATGCTCCAGAGAATCAATTACATGCTCCCTCACATTCACATCCCGACCTGGATCAAACGCGCAATCCCTGTGTTAGGAAAAGCATCATTTGGGAAGCTTAAAGCGGACGAGTGGCGAAATCTTTGCACAATACAATTACCCTTGATTCTGATTCCAATATGGTCTGGGAAAGATCAAGTTAAGACATCCCTCCTCAAGAATTTCTGTCATCTTGTCTCATTGGTTAAGCTTGCTCTAAAACGTGTTATGACATTGCATCACATAATCCAATATGAGTATCATATACAACAATATCTTTCTGGATGTCTCATTCTCTTCTCTCATTGTAACCTCGCGCCGAATCATCATTTGGCTATCCATATGTCTGAGTGTTTGAGAAAGTTTGGCCCAGTTCGTGCCTGGTGGTCCTTTCCTTTTGAAAGACTCATGGGCGATATCCTGAAGGGATGTCATAATAATCACCCAGGTAAGCATATAATACATTTTTGAAAAAGATGGATCTTATTTGATACTGACAGTCTGATCACAAATGATCTCACACATTTCAGGCGAGTTGGAAATCACTTTTCTCAAAAATTATTGTCGTGCGGGAAACTTGTCTGCCCTACTTAAAGATCAGAGGATACCTCAGGTCCTGAAACCCTATATTCCACGAATGCAAACACTATACGAGTCAGCGGCACCCAAAACTAAAGAGTTATCAAATTCTAACACAATTCCACTTGGAAATGATGTTCTGAAGATGCTAGTTAAGCTGCTGAATGATCAAGAACCCGGCCAAAACCAATGGATGATTCCAGAAGAGTGGTGTATACTTCCAGAATATCAAAAGATAAATGTGTCACCGGTTACACCTCGAGGATTTTTCTACAAGCGCATTTCACACAATGATATCTCATACTCGTCATTCACAGCCAGTGCAAGCGACAGCTTTGTTGCATTCACTTTGCTGACAGATGACAAAATTCACTTTGGAAGGATTTTTTCGATTTTTACTCACCGCCGAACCGACAAACACAAGGAGAATACTTTAGATACCTGGATTCATATAAACTGTTTTCCACAACTCCCAAAAGCGCTTAGGAAATATGATCCCTTCAAAAACATACAAGAGCCAGATGTCCAAGCATATCTTAGAGCTTGGGGGCCAACAAGAGATCACCTTATCAAGAAGGAACAGATTTTGGGACACTGTAGCTGGCTAATGTATAAGGAATCACAGTTACATGCTAAGATTACCATAGCGACTGTAGGTTTGATTTATATGGATCGATGAGTAACAAATATTCCACAGGGATATCACATACATAAGTCCAATACATGTTTAGTTTGCTGTTTACAAAAACTTCATATATGTAATCTTGCTTTCCAGAAGCAATTAATAATTTGCAAAAGCGTACTAAGAAGAGATATGTGAATTGATTGAGAAAGATAGAATAGTTTGATGTGTGTATTTGGAGTTTGATGAAATAAGTAACCTGAAATTCATGTTGATCACGAGTTATAAGGTGAAAGAAGGGAAATAGTTTGATGTATCAGTTTGAGTTCAATGAAATAATCGAAATGAAATGTCATGATATTTTGGAGCAAGAATGCTCAAGCTACCATATTTTCTAACCGCTCCTTCAGGCCAGCTAGCATCGGCTGGGCGCTTATTTGGAGTGCCAATTTTGTTGCAGGATTCAAAGTATCCAGCCACGACTGGCGAAAACAGTCGGTTGATATACCTGAAGCTGCCTGAACCCGGCTTTGAGGAGCATTTTCAATACGTTTCCTTGGGCGTTGCTGTCGGCCACGAGGTGAACCCTGACCAGGTACACTCTTCTCAACTCTCTCAATGCACTTGTCAACCAGCTGCCAGATCTGAGACAGTAGTGAGCTACGCCAATGAACTTCTCGAATACGGCATGACAAGCCGTTGCGGATGCCGGAATTTTCCTCCGTTGGTTCTGTATCGGTTTCATCGTCGCTTGTTGTTTTTTTGACAATTGCCAAGAGAGGCCAAATTTCCTCCCGTGCGAGGAATTTACTTCGGCGCTCAATAAGCTGTCAAGGGTGGAGAACTGGTTAGTAGTGTGTGAGACTCGATGCAAGCAAGATAAGTCAGGCTCACATGCCGCATTCTTGATGCTCTTCTTAGTTCAGCCGTAGCTGTTTTCTTGCGTTCGGGAGTCCAGGTAAGTTGTTGACGATATCTGAAGGTATGATCCATAACATTTAAGTTTTTGAATTACGCCACAGAAATCATAGGCACATACGTTTTGGCGAGTGATTGGACATATGTGTCTAAGCATTTCTTGATGAATTGTCGATTCTTGACTGAAGTCTGGACGGAAGCTACAAACACCTGCTCTATGCATCAACTGCCACATTATTGAAAGTTGCTGAGGAGTGGATTCCTCATGACCTGGACCGTCTTCGTATGGGAAGGAAGAATTGACTCGATCAGCAACAGGTGGAGAGGCAGTTAGATCATAAGAGAGTTTATCCATTTCGATGTCATAATCCCATGATTCCTTGTCAATTGCACTAGCTGGCGCAGGTAGGACTTCATCCTGTGATCGGCGACCAAGAAGGGTTTCAACATGGAACCGTATATGTGCCTATCAAAGTCATTCCACCAAATAGTATGATCAACGTGTGTCTGTGGTATATTGATGTAAAAAGATAGGATAGCAAACAGATGTGCGGCCGCCCTTGGTTTTCTTTTTACTGATACCTTCAGACTCGTTATGCAGTCGTTGCTTGACAATCTGAGACAGCACGCTGACTTCGTGAGTCAAGGAGTCTACTCGCTGATTGGTGTTTGAAATGATCTTTTTAAGCTCTTGAATGAGTTTTCTATCTTCATTCATCAATGGCTCTGTATCTTCTTTTCTGTAGAGTACCAATATGTCAGCAAAAAACCTCTCAAATTTTGTTTCTCAGTCATCTCACGCTCTGATCAAGTCACGTACTCTGTGTCACAATTCATTTCGCCTTCGCTTAGGCACGGAGAAATAGATTTTTGTGTGTCCTTCTTGCCACTTTGCGAGTTGCAATCACCTGTTCTATCAGAAACAATATCTTTCTTCTGAATGCCGTTGTCTCTCCCACCTTCTTGATCAGTTTCTTCATCAGTTCTGCTGGGATGGTAATCACTTTCGGAAGCTTGTGCTTTCTGTTTGCCTTTGTCCCTCTTTGACGGAACTAAGTCGGTAGTCGGTTTTGGGCGGGGATAAGCCAATGTCCCTTTTTCGAGGCTGGGCAAGTTAGAGGTTGATGAACCTGATATCATATCGCCCAAAGAGGATTGGAAACCAAAGATAAGGCCATGAATTAGCGCATATCACACTGATTTTAGCTGTCATAGGGGAATTGGGGATGAAAATTGACTCCTTACTTTGATCAGTTCCGCCCTGGTTTGAACCAAATGGCACTTCAAATGTGAAGCGGGGGGCTTCACCCAATTAGTCAACAGAAAGATGCGGGCTTGAATCAGTGTATATTGAGGGGCTAATTTTAGATTTTAAATATGATGATTGAAACTGCATGAGTCCTCACTTTGATTCCCAAACTGGGTTGAACCTACGGGTGCCACAATTGTGAGGGGGGGGTCAGTAGTCAAATCCGTTTGACTAGTAATATGTAAGTTTCCCGGCGAGGGAAGTATGACTACACAAGAAAGCACATCAGTGTTTTCTCAAACAATATCTGCTACTGAAAAGGGCTTTAATACTGACTTAGATCCTGGTAAGTCTTGCAATTCTGGATTAACGCTTGTCTGTTGAATCCTCTGGTGTCAAGTCCGACATCACGTAACATCAAGACCATCTCACTGTCTTTGTATACAGAAAAGTCGGTTGAAGGTTCTTTATCCATGTGAACTACAGAGGTGGTGTCTTCAATTGGTGTCTTTGATCGCCGATGCGTGGTTTTCGAAGGACCTCGAGTTCTTCTTTTCTTCATGATACGCTTCTTGAGGAGTTTGATCACGTGTTCTCGAGATGTCTGTGCACCAACTGACACCTCATCTTCGAGGCCACTGTTCTCTGATTCTGAGGCTTGGGTGAGATTCGACAATAACAAAGCAAGATGAACATATTGAATCTTACCCTCCGATGACTCAAATCTTAGTTTTCTCTTCCTCTTATCCTTGGTAACAATTTCCTGTTCAGGAGACTCAGATTCCAATTTCTTTACCGAACTTCGCAGCTTGCGGCCAGTGGCCAGCGCCTGCTTGATAGACCTAGCCGCCGAAGTGGACATCCAGCCTGATGTTGGTTTTGTGTGAGATGAATGCAGAACTCGTGCTTTGAAATTCGGATTAAGATGAAATATTCAATATTTGAAAGGCTGACAAGGGAAATTTAGAGAGGTAGATTCAAAGACTTGAGAAAGCGGTTTTCTGAACCTACAGATGGATTGGTTTGAAGTGATCAAGAGAAGATCAAGTGGTCGTAGAAAAAATGGGACCTCCCTGGATATATCAAGTCAATCTAGACAGTGGAACCACATCTCATGAAAGGCATCCCAGGATAACTACAATTGTTTAGCGTCAATGAGGGTGATAACAAAGACCCATGATGAGAAAGGGGAATGCCTCACTCCATGTAGAGGTGTTCATGATGATCATGACGCTAGATTCATTCTTTCCTCACCCACTTAACTACAGTATATATGCTGCTACTTGCCCGTAGTAATGATGTATTCATTTAATATAAATATCATCCACCATGATGTGGGCATACATGTGTGTCAGCTCGTTTCACGGCATTTCTTGATCATGTATATTAATTCGTCAAATCTTTGCATTGAAGCCGAACATCCAGACAGGCAACAGCTGCAAATTTCTATCCTTTGTTATATTGATTAATGTTTCCTTGGTAAATTCCTTACAATTTTATTCGAAAACAACAAATTGTCCTCTCAAAAAGTTTGATCAACCTTTCATTTAGACAATCAACTATACTAGACTGTTGCACCGGTTCGTGTCTAGATTATTCAGCTTCCATTGCCACCGATTATTTTCGGTGATAATGTGCTGTTTGTGAATTCATCAACTTACCATGAGAAGTTTGGACTTCAATACATAGCAGCTTCTTCATGCCTAAATTAATCGAATGTCTATATCTAACATCTGTCCGCTGTTGCCATCATGGGCCGGTAGATTATGACTACTCCGAATCAGGACTAGATTAGGAGTAGTCATGATTTCAATTGAGGTCCTAATTAATATGTGTCCTAATAGATCTGTTCAATTTCTAGGAGATAAAAGAATTTTCTGTGGAGGGATTCTGATTCTCAGTAGAACGACGCCTCCATGTACTATATGAGAACCGAGATCTGGTCATGAGGTTCAAGGGTTATCATGATAAGAGCCTTCTCGTGAATTACCTTAATTACATTTGAAGAAAGTATATCACCCCGATCTTGTTCTGATTTCTAGTCCAACACATCTCGAACTCATTGATCAATCATGTCCACTCCCACTCGATTTCACATGTTCCTACCGAATTATATACTTGAATTTGTAGTTTGTGATGAAACTAGTTCTAAGATTGATCCTGACTTATTCCTCAGCAAAGCCACTACCTCCCAAATTGTGGAGGTGATTATATCGTTTTATCCTCATCTCCGTTTTACTGAAGATGCGCAACAAGACCACGAACTTATTTTGAAGATTTTTGTCGAGATGATCGCTCCAAGACTATCCAATGTAATCATTCCGCTCAACCGCAAGACCGACTATCTTCAAGCCGCGCTTCACACCCCGCTTCACGATGCTCAACCCTTGATCAGATGGGTGACCTGTAGCGCCGATATCGATACCAAACGGATTCAGCACTTCGAATTGTTTTGTCTTGCGAACCCCAAGAACCGTCAGTACCGCCTTGCGGCCGAAGATATTGAACAATTCGTCAAGACGTACAAGTATCTCAACCAAGCGGAGGTTAATGAAATCCTCAATATTCAAGATGATGCCGACGAGGCCCTCAACAATGCTACTTCTTACCTCCGAGGGTCTCACGAGTCAATTGAGAGCATACAGCTTCTGCTACGGAACCCAAACCTTTCACCAGCCGATTGCCAACACCTTGACGAGCGGTTAAGATGTACAAATGCTTTGTTGGTCTCCCATCAGAAGATGTTTGACGGGGCTATTCTTGATGTCGGATTTGTTCAAGCATTGGGCAAATATCATAAGTAAGTTTTGATATATCTCTATCGAGAAATATATAGTCACTTTAATTCATTCTGTTGATAAATTGATCAGGGAAATCCTTGCCAAACATACCGCTCGTGTTTCGAATTAGTTTCTTTGAAGATCTATATACATCAAATTCTGTGATTATTTGAAGGCTGCATCAAGATATCCAATTTAAATACCACTTGTGTTGTACTGATGTTGATCCGACTTTACTTCTTTTTGATTGATCCGCTGTTGTCAAACTGGAGTATGAGAAGAAATGCAGTGCCAAGTGACTCAAGTCTTGAAGATCACTCTTGGAAACTTCTGTGTACAGTCATGATGAGACAGATATATCAATTCCTGCTTTTCACATTTCTGATTTCTTAGTATTCAAAGACCACCATTCACGGTTTTTGGTTTGGTCTTGATCAGTTGTTTCCCGGAGTATGTTCAATGTTGGAGTTCAACATTTCATGAAATGTTGAACTCCAATGCAGCTTATGCCTCTGATCATCAAGTATTCACGCCTGGAAGTTCAACATTTCAGGAAATGCTGAACTTGCTACGTATGTTAATGGTTTGCAATCATCCTCTGTCTCTTCTGAGCTTTGGTGCCTTGGTCTGTCTTATTTCATTTTTTCTTCTCATCTGTCGTTCTTTCACATTATCTTTGATTGCTCCTTGTTTTTTGTGGTTTGAATGTGTTCAACAGTTCGACATTTGATGAAATGTCGAACTCCAATCCAGCTTGTGCATGCAATCAACAAAGTTCAATATGTTGATACTCTGATCACATCGGATACCTACGTGTCTATCCAGGGCTAAGCCATAATCATCCCTTAGGGGCCTCAATTAAATCATCATGGTTCCGCGCTATTGTCTACCGTCATCACGAAAACCTGCCGGTTTATCCAGAGCTGAGGATCCTCAGGCGGTTTCTCTGTTTAGGTACGCTCTTTTCAAAACTCACCCTCGTTTTCTACCTTCACTCTGACCTCTGGAGATTTATCGTTGTCTCACTTTTCAATCTATATCCACCTCAAATCCTTATTTCTGGCTCTTTTCTCATCTCATCTTCATAATGACTCCCAGCGACAACGACCAAAATACCTTTCAAAGAAGCAGGACAATGCT